ATATATATGAAAAAAGGAAAATAAATGTGGCTACACATAAATTAAAATTTCTGTTGAACATCCATCAAACATAAACTAAATAAAAAGGTTAAAAAGCATAAAATGATATTTACCAAAAGAAAAATAAAAGCTTTCTGAATCTTAGAATTATAACATATTACGAACTGGAACCCTGTAAGAAAAATCAGCAAAAGAGAAGAATATATAATTCACAAAAGAAATAAAAAGGGCCAATAAACATATAAAATGTTCATACTAGTAACCAAAGAGATGCAAATTGGACAAAGAGAGAGAGAGAGAGAGAGAAAGAGAGAGAGAGATATTCATCTATTACCTAGCAAATTATTTTCTTTGGCTTGAGAGCTCCTACAAATAGTTGTTAGAGCATAAATTTGAATGGTCAACTTTTCTGGAAAGGGATATGCATGCCACATACCAAATCATTTTTTGTGTTTTTTTTACCCAATAATTTTATGTTTAAAAATCCACTTTAAGGAACTAATAGAACAACCCATATCAACGAGCTTTAAAATGTTTAAATTTATTGTATGACAAACTTGAAAATACAATTAAAACTTAAGATAAGTTTTTGCTTATTCATTAAAGTTTTCTTTTTAGTGTTGACAAATCAGGGGAGAAATGAAATTAAGTAGTATGCTGAATTTACATTATAATATCAAAAGATTTTAAATTGTACTAATACATTGAATTTTTTAAAAGCAGAAAACATCTGTGCAATATAATACTGTTACATAGAATGAGAAGGAAATGCTTCAACATGTTAATAGTAGTTTATTTTTGATAGTGAGACATGATTTTTTCTTGTACTTTCCCTTTTCTTCCTTTTACTTTTGATGTTTTTCCAAATATTCTATAATATTCATGTACTATTTACATAATCAAAAATGTAATTCAAAAAATAAAAGATGGAGAAAATAACTCCATTTATAATATAACAACAAAGTTCATAGCACATAAAAATTTTACAATATCCATGAACGTAAACGGTCTATGCAAAACTGTATGAAATAAACCAGTTGGAAAAAGCAAATTAAACAGGAAATGTCAGCACACCTCTTGGGGAAAACAAAGAGGGCTCCTGATTTTCGAGGATCCAGGATAGAGTAGGAGGTGGCTAAAGACTGATCCTTATAAATGTTGATAGCAGCCATAGCCAGACTTAATTTTCTGCTTCATAGAAATAAATGCTGATCCTGATGGGTCCCTTCAGATACTTTCTACCAAGCAGAAATGACTTTAACAAAAATTCAGTGATTTTGCAGAAGGCATGTATTTGTTTCTTGAATTATAAAATGAAATCATAGACAAGCAATTCATCAGAAACTGAGCATACATAGTCTGTCCCTTTGAAATGATTACATTGCCTAAATACCCAACCTTATCTTATTTTCAGATGCTCAGCAGATATTACTGGCAAATATGAAGCAGTTAAGTGCCAGGGGGGCAGTTGTGTTGCAGGAAGACCATGCAGTCTCGATGCATTAACAGGACTGTATAGAGAGGGATGTGAGTTCATACCACATAAGCAACAGACTGTGAAGGCTTCTATAATGTTTGCACAAAGTATTGATTCTGTAAGTATCTTATTTTTTTCTCCAGACTCTTACGAATTTAGTGAGGCTTTTCCTAGGTAATCCAAGGAAAGATCAAATTTCAGAGAAAATTTTGGGGGGAATTAACAGCTTTGGGATAAACTAGGAGCACAAAATCACGATTAAAAAGTCATAACATTCCTAGTATTCTGTCCTATGTCTACTCTTTTTTTCTTTTGGTACTAGGGATTGAACTTGAGACGTTACACTTGAGAGGCAGGCGGTAGAACCACTGAGCTAAATCCCTGGCCCTTCATGTGCACTCTTTCTTTTGTACCATCTTTCTTCTACTAGCTTTTAAGTGCTTAGAATTACTTTAGCTACTCTTACCTTCATGCAAGCACAAAACTTTTAGTCAAATAAGACATTTACCCAGGAAGATTAGTTCAGAATGAAAATAATGAACAACAGTCCTTACTTCAACTTCTAAAGAATTCTTTTCTGTTTGCATTTTTGCCTTTACTTGTTAACCAAAGCTTTCTATCATTTAAAGATTGTTAATACTCTTAGGGAGTTCTTTCATAATTTTAATAGCTTTAAACAGTGTAAAAATACTGTTTTGGTTTGGTTTGATTTGATTTGTGGAACTAGGGTTTTGCTAGGCTGACCTTGAACTTGGGATCTCTCTGCATCAGCCTCCTGAGTGGTGGGATAACAGGTGTGCAACCATCGTGGCAGGCTTACTTTTTTTTTTTGTAATGATCTATTAGCTGTAAATGAACTTCACTATCTATATTAATGTTAAATATATAGATCAGCAAAATTTTCACAAGATAACATGAAATGTGTCAGCTACCTGACCTTAGCGGGGAGCCCTTCTTATCTTCCAGTATCCTACATAAAATTAAGTTTTCCCATTGGAATAGAGGGTGAAACAACTTAGCAGAGTCTACATCAACAATGTGATGTAATTTTAAAAATCTGATGAACCATAGCTCACCAGGCCCATCTCTCAATCTCTCTTTGCAGTCCACTCCCAAACCTATTAAGACCCTCTCAGGCAGGGCTCAGATACTGTACAGATAGATATTCTAACTTATGATGAGGTTAAATATCCCAATAAATCCATCATAAGTTGAAAACAATTTAAGTTGAAAATTCATTTTTAATACCCCTAACTTATAGGCCATCATAGCTTCGCAATGCAGTGCACCAGAGTGTGGGTTGTTCTTGTGCTGGTGGACTGGGAACTGTGGCTTACTGCCCCTCTGCCAGCATCATGAGAGAATATCTAATTCAGGAAGTGACTAAAATTCACAGTACAGCTTTTACTGAATATCCTTTTTTTGCACAACCAAAGTTGAAAATCCTAACATTTTCCCGTAAGTCAAGAGCCAACGATGTTTTAAATTAGCCACAGAGTTAAATTTGATGTCGATTTGGGGAATTCTGCTTGAGGTTCACACAAAAGTTTTTCAGGTTTCCTGATTAAAAACTAGCCAAACTGAAAATATGGGAACACTGCCAAAACAGATGAGTTGGAAAATGCAAATATAGAGAAAAGTGAGTGTTTTACAAGTAATGATTACTTTCTAGGTCATTAGACTCTCAGATTTTTAAGATTTTTAACTGAATGATAATATTATACAGCCTCCCAGAGGAGGAACTAGGTTGTTCCTTCTTTGTGTACTGTGCTTCCCTGTTAAGTTCCCCAAATGCTATGGACATAAACACCAAGAAAAGAAGGAACCACTTTTTATTGGCTGTTAGTACTAACCCTGTTGGATATATTTTTATCATATTCTTGCATAATAAATGTCATTTTTTAGATTGAAGAATTGAGGAGTAAAAGCAACAAACTTAACACTGTCTTTTTTTCTTCTAACACTGATCTTTTATTATATGTTAGACACAGGACCAAATTTTGAGAAAGTAAAATTTAGTGAGAAATTTTACTTATATAGATGGTTTTATAGCCCAATGCATGCACCACAATGTAAAAATAGGCCTCATTGATGTTTCTACATTGTAATGTAAGATCACAAAGACTTGATTAGAAATTCTCTGGGGAAGGACAGAAAATGAGGAACCATTTCAGAAGTGACCTTCAGCTGAAACCCAAGGTAGATCTACACAGAGCTGAAGATCTAGGAGGAACTTCTTGTCCAAGTACTGTGAGCAGAGGCACAGGGCTATAGAATTCTGGCACATCTGGGAACTAATAGGAAATAGTGGGAGAAAATAGATACCAAGAATGTGTAGCCAGAATGAGGATGAAGAGTGAAGTAAGGGTGTGAATCATAAAGATAGCTGTTTACTATGTGAAGGAGTCAGGCTTCTTAGTGTGGGAGAAATCATGAACCTCAGAAGGATATAATGTACCAAAGTAAGAGGGACAACACCTCAGGCAGCTGTGGGGGTGGAACAATGGGAGGAAAAACAAGATGGGAAAGTCAGACGGGAAATTACAGTGGTCTGAGGGAGAGACTGTGAGGGCTTACGTGATGAAAATTCCATTAGAAAAGGAAACAACCTGATTAATTGGAAAGATGGTGACATGTATTGATTTCAGTTATTTTGTAGTTGGGGAGGGAGGAAGGCGGCAAAATTTCCAGCTTCCAAATATGGGCAACTGGAACTTAGTGGTGACATCAAGTTAGGTGATACATGAGGAGAAGGAGCGATGTTGGAGAAAGGTAATGGGATTGTTTATGGTCACGTAGCCTTACGGAGCCAGAGGGACATCCAAGTGGATCTTAGAAGAGCTGCGGTGGTGGATGTTGGAAGTTGGACTGAGCGGGAACAAAGAAAGTAAAGTTTACTGGTGCGAGGAGGGAGGAAGAAGTATCAGGAGAGGAGTGCAGAAAAGGGTGGTGGGAAGAGAGTCGAGATGACTCGGAACTGCAAGTCTGAAGATTACCAAGGAGGTAAATGGATTTCTACCAACAGTGGAAACTACCTGCAGTAGGTAAACGGATTTCTGAGAGGCACTTAGGTACATTGAAGTGGAAATACGTGGTGCGAGGTTGCTGCTCCGAATTGTGGCTAAGATCTTCCCCAGAATTCTCTGCAGTAGTGGCGGTGTTGAGTCGTGGTGATAGGTTAGCAAGGCAGACTGGTAAAAAGAGATGGGAATTTAAATTGCGGTATATTTTAAAAAGTAATTGATTGTTAACTGTATCATTTTATTGACAATTTCAGGTGGTTGAGTTCTGTACAGAAAAAACTCACAATAAAATTGCCCCAAATATGCAAAACCAAAAATGTAACGTCCGAAGCACATGGGAAGTGATCAGCGATTCTGAGGACTTTAAGAAAACCACTCCTATGACGACAAACCCACCCAATCCCACCTTCTCGTTGCTGCAGATTGGACAAAGAATTGTGTGTTTAGTCCTTGATAAATCTGGAAGCATGGCGGTATGTTCACTGAGTCTTGGTCTTCTCTGTGCCCCTCATACATGTATGTATATGATCAGACTACAATTTTGAACTGGCTGGAGATAAATACATCCCCAGAAATAGAACACTTACAGTAGCATTGCCGTCAGACCTGCCTACCATCCTTCATTCCACAGAAATTTTGCATCAGCTGCCTCATTTACCAAATTAACCTTGTTTTAATTTATGAGCAAAGATCTGATAAGTTACATAAACTTAATTTTTTTTAATGTTGCACTGACTTTATATATGTCTCCAGGTCTACAATTCTGTGTAGGATTTAACTAGAACTACTACTAAAACCTTGTACTTTAATAATTGTGTTATCTGACTTTATCTTTTGCTGTTTATGCAAAGGTTTTAAAATTCTACCCAAAGGTGCTGCTGCATATAAATGGAAAATTTCCCCTGTGAGATATGCCTCAAACAAGCTGCTTGTCATTTATTCCATCGCAAGGCAGCCGCCTCAAAGTATCCTCTGATCTGTTCAGTGATTAGTCTGTCCATTTAAACCCATCCTGACTACTTTTCTTCCACTTGTCCGTTCAGAATGATGACCGCCTTAACCGAATGAATCAAGCAGGCAAGCTTTTCCTGCTGCAGACGGTGGAGGACGGGTCCTGGGTTGGAATGGTGACATTTGACAGTCGTGCCCAAGTACAGAGTGAACTCAGACAGATAACCAGTGGCGTGGACAGAGACGCACTCACCAAAAGCTTACCCACAGCAGCTTTCGGCGGGACAGCCATCTGCTCTGGTCTTCAATCAGCATTTACTGTGAGACATGGTCCCCTATTGTGGTTTGCCAATGTTTGCAACTTTTTTCCCTAAGAAATGTTTCCAGTGTTTCCATATTTGCCAGGTATCTAATTGGATTAGGCAACCGAGAGCAAAGCAATGGTTCAAATGATGGAAAGACATAGGCCCCCAACTCTATTTCTGCACATATGCTTGCAGTCATGGTATCCATGGTGGCCTTCTTACATTCCAGGCCTTGTGCTAGGCACTAAGGGTACCACGAAAGCCTGGATGAGGTGCATTAGCCATAGTAGTAACACGCATAAGTGCATACTCATGAATTATGAGTGCTGTGAAAGAAAAGTACACAAGGGTCTAAAAGTATCTTCTGCGGAAACAATCTATAAATATAGTGAAGCTGTGAGGCAGCTGGAAATTCAGAGGACTTCTTTTCGGGGGAAGAGAGTGACTTGTTGAAGCGGCAGGCCCTAGGAACTGTAACTGATCGCATCAGGGCCACATCTAAAGAGCTCTCTGGACCATCCAGTTAGACGCCAGCATCGTTCCATCTTAAATACAATTTTATTTAAATTTTCTATCTAGTATTTCATACCTTTCATTTCACTACCTACCTTTCCAGGGTTAAGCAGCAGGGCCTCTTCCTGGGATGCTGCATTTAAGCAAATCGAATCACCTGTCCTTAAGAGTGTCCTCACCTTTGGCAGGCGAGCACCCAGAGCGTGTTTCTCGCCTTACTTGCATTTCACATCGTACCTGTATTCAGCGAACTATCACGGGCATCAGATACTTCTTGGCGTCTTTCCTGATCCTTTGTATAGGAAAGGAACATATCTTTCTGAATCCTTTAACCTTTTCATTTAAAAACATCTTTTAAGGCTTCTGGGCTCTTCTGTCTTATTATCTAATCATGTATTTCAACCAAGCAAAACTTCTTTAGAGATAGGATTTAATCTTTTTATTTTCCAGTCTGCTGACATAGTATCACAGTTCTTTGTTAACAAAATTGAACTGAGTTATTTGGTGCACTAATAATACCTAATGTTTAATTGCTCCAAATAATTTATTCTTGTGTAGGGGCTGTTTAGCCGCGACTGTAGCTGGCTGGCTCCTGAGCCCTAGCTCGGTTCCACGCCACAGTTCCAGTTCTTCTCTCTCCCAGGGTCGTCACAGTTGTCTTGTGTGGCGGCCTCTTCTCAGAGTTCACATAGAGAGGGAGACAGAAAATTCCTCTGTCCTCAGCTTTCCCTTCAACCTTCTGAGGTTCTCATCCAGATTCTCAACCAGCTCTTAGTCCTGATTGCTTGTGTTCCCTACTTCCGGGTCTTTTCTTCCACTCATTTAGGGGAACAATGGACTCTTACCAATTTTCTTCCATTGTAATCTTGTTATGTAAGATTAATTAATAAAATTGGCAGAAAGATTATATATATATA